TGGGACCCCCCCCCCCCAAAAAAAAAACCTAGTCCTAGCCCTAACGGAGTACCGTAGGGCCCCCCTGACTTGTTTATGTTTTATCTATGGGGATGGGTTCTCACAATCTCTTCACATGGAAGGAAGTTTATTAATATTCTTGCACCGCGTTTGGCAGAACCCTCGATACAACTTCTGGAGCAGGTCATTTACCAGGTGTGCCCCTGAAATGGAGAAACTCTTTGAGTCTGTTTCGAGGTCCTGTGGTGGGCCCAAGCCAGTAGATGATAGCATCGTGTCAGGCGGCTTAACAGACAACTTGCACTGATCTAACACCTTCCCCCCTTCCCGTAGTAGATGTACATGCATGTTGTTCCAGCCATTGGCACTAGTTGGAATGCAGATAAAGAAGGTATTTTATCTTTTCCTTCCATAAAACAAAAGGCTGTAACTTTAGAACGTGATGTTTCTTTTGATTGATTTTCTCTTTTTAGTTTCGAAATTTTGTCCACTGTAATTGCCATTTACTGAGCCTTCGGGTGAATTTGTATTTGTAGCAATGTTCCAGACGTTTTCACCAGTAAATGGAGAAGTTGTACATAGTACATGAGCTGGCAGTTTCTTTTTTATTACTTTTGCGTGCCCCATTCAGTGCAGTTAAAAATAGAGTGCGCATTGACTCTGAAATTCAAAGAGAAAAAAGACTAAATAGGAGTAAAAGTTGATTATATTCCAAAATAATATTTTCATGTTTTTTTATTTTTGAATCAGGAGTTAAAATGTGTTTACATTACCAAAAGGTATATAATAAAATTTTCAAGTGCAGTGTCATATTATCATAATGCAAACTTCTATTTGGAGAATAAAAACTTCGAGCTCTTATTTTGATATCATCTCTATGTCTTATTCTTATTTAGAGTGATTTCTTAAATTCAAAGTCGTCATTGATACTCCCTCCGTCCTGTTATATTCGTCCACTTTTTACTTTTGGAACTGTTCATCTAAGGATTTTGATTCATCAAATTCTCTCAATGTGTAAGCCTAAATATAGTCATGTGTGATCTTGTTTGATTTGTCTTAACATATAGATTATTAATACTCCCTCCGTCCGGAAATATTTTTCCCATTTTCCTTTTTGGTCCGTCTGAAAATATTCTTCCCATTTTCTTTTTTAGTACTCCGTATATTTTTAAGGTTAAATATCAATAATACCCTTCTATTTTATCACAAATCTACTTTTTTAGTACTTTTTTAATAATAAAAAGAGATTTAAAAGGTTATAGTATTTTTGGAGAATAAAAACTTCAAACTTTTATTTTGATATTATCTCTATGTCTTATTCTTATTTAGAAAGATTTCTTAAATTCAAAGTCGTCATGGATAGAATTTATTCAACTTAAGAAATTGAAATTGTGGATTGATACTTTTATGCAAAAAGGGAATAACACTAAAAAATCTTTATGAAATGATTTTGAGTAAAATTCTATAAAAGGTCTCCACATATCAAATACCAATTATTTAGTCATGAATTATTATATTACTACCTCCGTCCTGTTTTAAATCGTCTGTTTTGACTTTTGGACATATTTAAGGAAAAGAAAAAATAGGGTTGATTTTTCAAAATTGTCAGTACTTTTTAAGAGGTATGATGATGAATAAGAAGATAAAGTGGAAAAGAGTGACTTATTTTAGAGTTAGTTTAAGTATTTTACTCTTAAAAATTTACGAAAACAATTAACAGGCAACTTATTTTGGGACGGAGAAAAAAGGCAAACAAGCAATTTAAAATGGGACAGAGGTAGTATTTTTCATGAATGGTTCTCTGTTAACATTTCTGTTAAGAAGAATAAAATTGTAAATTCATACTTTTCTCTCTCCTCAATTAAGTTTCCTCTCTTCTTTCGTGCTCCTTCCCAAATGTGTTGTTGAATTTGAAGCTCTGAACCCAAAATCAAAAATTGTGGATTTGGAATTGAATTATATGAGTAGCTCTAAACTTTTCAGCTCCATGTTTTACATTCTATAATACCGGAAAAGGATTTGAAAATTACAAGCGATTAGAATTTTATGGGTTAAATCCTTTTTAGGCCAAAAAAAGAAACAAATCTTAAGGGCATTTGCAATGGATGCAAAATTAGCCGTGCTGCTCAACTTCCTAGGCGTGCTACGCCAGACGTCCATTGCAAGAGGAGAGCCACATTTTCAGCCCCGATGCACGGCCCAACTGCGGCGCTCGGTCGAGCTGAATTCCAGGTGTAAAATCATGGCGGTCGCCTGCTACAACTGTCTGCGCCGGCCCAAAGAAACTAATGTCACCTACTTATTTCAAACCAAAAGTAACATGATGAAGATAATTTTACCAAATATTATCAACCTTAATCAGGGTGCCTAGGAAGAGAACTAGTGCATAATATTCTTCTGTGCCGTGAAATGGCAAGAGGATACAATAATAGAAAGGGCATCACTCCCAAATGTCTAATGAAGCTTGGCCTTAGGCCTATGACTTCATAAGTTGGACGACTATTAGAGGGATCATGAAAGCAATGAAGTTCCCTGGTAAAATTTCCTATTAAAGGTATCAAACAAGGGGACCCTATATCTTCTTTGATTTTTACTTAAGTTATGGAGTATCTGAAAAGGGCTTTGAAGATATATGCAAACAACATCAATTTCCACTACCATCAAATGTGTAAATCACTCCAAATTATAAATTTAACCTTTGCTGATGATTTGATTGTTTAAAGCTGACAAGGGATCAATTAATATCATTCTTGTGTGCCTCAAACACATCAGAGTTGTAACAGGACTAGAAGTAAATCATTCCAAATCTCTAATGATAGTTGGAGGAATACAGGATCAGGAAGTTGATGAGTTGTTGAGTATGACTAAAATGGACCGAGGGGTACTACTTGTCAGATATTTAGGTGGCCCCATAACTGATGGTAAAATTAGTGATAGAATATGTGAAGCACTGGTAAGTAAACTCACAACAAAAATCATTGTATGGGAATCCAAAAACCTCTCATATACAGGAAGATATACGCTTATAAATTCAGTTCTATATGAGATTATTTTTTTTTGGTGCAGATTTTTTGTCATTCCAGCAAATGTTATGCACAACACCAAAAATTTTCTTTTGGTGTAACCTACGTTTTCCAAAGGTAAAAATCCCACTCCGTATAAACTAACAAACCGTCTCGGGTTATGGACCTGGCTTCACTGCCTTAGAGTTCTCACCAGTCACCGTCGTCCAAGCTACCAATGGAGGCGTCGTCGTCGTCGTTCTCCGGAGCTCGGAACCCCTTCCGTTCTGCCAAAATGAGCGTGCCCGGTTCCACCGCTCAAGGTACGTCTTACCATTACAATGCGCGCGCTTGATGGCGAATTTTGATTGTGATTTTAGCTGTTACTGGCAAATCCGCGCATTACATTCAATATAACGTTGCTTCTTTCTCGAAATTCAATTCAGCGATGGCAGAAGATTTCTCCGAGCCGTCTCAGGAATTCTCAGAGAATGAAGGCAAGTCAGAGGTAGGTTTACTAGGCGAAGGAAATTCATATTCGTTTGTATTTCAATTTGCTTCATGTGTGCCGGCGTAATGGACTTTACGATGAATAGGAAGTGAAGTTAATTTGTAAAGGAATTGAATCTGTGATCTCTTATCTTTTCTTCTGAAGAATATTTATGTACGGAGTTTCGTTGATGCTTGGTGCACAATCTTAATATCTCCTTGTGGCTTGTTATGCAGGTCTACATGGCATGTGTCATGCATGGTCATAGGTGAGTGTATCATTTCTCAGGAATTCATTCTACAAGTAAACTGTGAATGAAAATGTAACCATGTACGGAGTAATTACTTTGTCTCCAACTTTTCTTCATTGGAAAAAACATATTGCAACACTATCGATAATCACTGTCAGCTCTCCTCCATTTCCAATTTTAACTACAATGTTATAAGTCAAATGATTTCTATGTGGCAGTGTATAATTGTCCGACCTAGCAATTCTCGATTAATGTAATTTATATGCAGAATTGGAGTTTCCTATTATGACTCCGGCATACGACAACTCTTTGTAATGGAAATTTGGGAAGATGGGAGTAATTACTTTCCCTTGGTTGAAATGGGTATGAACTTAACTTCATTGGAAGCACTACCTTGCTTGCTCATAGGAATTTAAATGCTTTATGTCTAAATGTGTGATGAAAGATGACCTGCATGGCTGCACTAAACTGGCATGTTTTCCTGTATATAAGGACTGCTTTTCTCCAAAGTTTTGACTTTCATCATGAAACAGCTATGTACTAAAACAATCAGGACCTTCAGCAAGAATATCATGTTGGGGTCAGTGGCATGAAATTTATAGCTTCAGTTAATTGTTTCAAATCAATTATCATTATAAACTCATACATAAAATCACAGTGACAATTTTTTAGCCAGTTGTGCACCTTTTCTTAACCTTTTGAAGAAGGAATTATGGGATGCAATTTCAGACCTGCCATCATCATTGGTCTCTTCCACTAGCATGGAAAGTGTCAAGAGATGATGATGAGTTGAAATAGTTTCTATAGTCATTTCCTTTGGAAAACTTATATTGTAACATACTAACATCTACATAGACATCATGGAACATGATCTTACAACCTGTATGTATTGTTACGGAGTACATGTTGCAAATCATGGAATAGAACTGCAGGAAGTCACGTAACTGGTTTCCAAGGAAACCAGGGTGATTAACTTCCCAATGGGGATTTGGTTTCCAATTAGCTTTGAATGATTGCTAGATTAAATTTTGATTATATGTTCTTTTTAGAGGTTTGGTAGTTTGGATACGATACATTGATGACTCTACTCTCCCTCATATGAAATCTAAGAGCTTATTTTCACTAAAAACATCCAAGCAACTAAGCAAGGAATAAGAAAAAAAACAAGGAGACCTCCCTGAATTCACTCATAAACACCCAATTGCCTTTTTTTTTAAAAAATTCTAATCCAATATCGTGATACGGAGAGTCCCGGAACATAATCATTTCACTTGCAGCTTGTTATCTTTTCTGCATTTTTTAAAAAAATTGAGTTATTCTGAGTGTCTCTAATTCAGTAAAATACCAAGCCCAACCTGGAGTCATCTACACCAGCACAAAAACTGATGAGTCTTTCTTGGCGGCCTTACAGAGATGCGGTTAGTTGATTCCTATGTGAATGGCTAATCAAGTTCCACTTTTTGCGCACACAATATTTATTTGTTTAAGGTGCTACAGATGAAGCAAGTAGTGCTGCCTCTGTAAAGCTTGTAAAAAGTTCAATATTCAGCTATGAGCAAGCATGGCACAGGTACCAAGACATTGCCATATTGGTGCAAATATGCACTCGGCCACATGCGCCTGTGACTTTTGCTATTCTAATATACTTCTCTAGCAAATCTCTTTGATCATTGCAGACATTTGCAGTCACATGACTCACATGGTTCCAATCCAACCTCCTAGCATATGAAGAATATTATTAGTTCATTCAACAATGTATACACTACTTCAGAAAATCTGATCAAAGAATATCAAAACTAAAAGACAGATTTGATCATCTGAATTTACTTCACTCCACGCAATGCATGTATTCCCTCCACCCCACAAAGGTTTTCTCACTTTGACTTCACAGAACTTAAGAAAGTGTTGAAAAGTGAAAAATGTGTGGTTAAAATTTGTTTAGAAGAGAGAGAAATGTTATGAGGCACATATTCATTTCTTGGAAAGGAAAAGAGAAAAGTGGGAAGTTGATTTTGGGATGGAAAGAAATAGAAAGTGGGAAAAACCTTTGTTTGACAGAGGGAGTGTGTGTGACATTATTGAAATTTGTAGCTGAATGAAAAGGGGATTATACATATTTACAGGAGTACTAGCTTCAGATTATATGTTTCAGTGGATTAATTTCTCCTTTTGTTAGAGCTTCAGTTTCCCACATGAGAATATCTCTTTTTTGTTTCACAGATTGATGTACCTTCAGGTCACAGGAATGGATGATAGCTTAAATATAAAAGAGAGGATTGGCTTTGTGAGTAAATTGTTTGCATTCTTAATAGGCTTTTTTTATGTGCTTTCTGCTGTCACCTATGAACATGTAGTTGACTTTGTGGAGCAAGTAAAGTGCATTACTTATCTTTTTTTTACAATGACCTTTCAACATTCTTAAAAAACATCTCCAAGATAGATCATCATTCACTGGTGGACTGGTGGCTATGCATGTGAGCTGCCACTGCTGCGAATAATCTAGGCGGTGAACTGTGGCTCTCTGTTTGTCTGCTATAGTAGTGAGAATATATATTCTCATATCTCAACAGACATATAAGAAATGAACATGAATGAAGCAACATGCATGGCTAGGAAGCATGAATACCTCTGAAAATGGGAACATTGGGAAGTATGCGTGTCTGTCACTCCGAGGCAATGAGGACATGATGTTGACACATATGAGACACACCTAAAATGTACCCACTTTTTTCTATATCAGAACACATGACACAAAGGTATTTAAGAAATGAAGTCTTTTAAAACAACTCTAAGTTATTGGATTATGGTGCTAAACGCAAAACTCTAGGTCTATGAGATGTGGGTGTAGCCTTTGTTAGGGCGACGGAAGGAACAAAAGGGAGTATTGCAGTAATAATTTGTTACCGATAATATATGAAGACTGTATTCCTTGCTCCCCAAGGACTACTGGGAGTAGTATAAATAGAGGGTTTTTATTCATTAATAGTATCCATAATTTTGGAGTTAATGATGCGTGTCTTCGGCAAGGCCAACTGGCCAAGTACGCGACATTCCTTCACTGCCTAGAGAAGTTTTTTATCTTCATACCTTTTCATTCTTTTTTTTTTCTTTCTTTCAACCACACTTTTGACAATTTGGCATCAGAGCAATTTCTTTCCTAGTTCCCACCCCATTCATTTTTCTACCTAGTGCCAAGTGCCAACAAACAAAAAAAGCGATCAGTGTTGTCGTTGGAGTCTTTGTCTTTCTGACACCAACAATCCTCAATTCACCAGAACTAACTCTTTCTATCACAAAATTCATCAAGAGACCTCAAATGCTTGATTATTGCTTCCTGTTTTTTCTCGGATTGGGTATGGTTTTTTGTGTTTTGTCTAGCTTGGGTATTGCTTCCTATTATTTTCTTTTCCCTCATGATTTTTTTTGTTTTTTTTTCTTCTTTATGAGTGGATGTGTGCTAATACTGCTATCTTTCAGTTGGATAGTTATCAATATTATGTTTTCTTTTAAAAAGTTTTTTGACTTTATCTTTATTAAATGAATATAACATGAAAAAAATAGAAAAATGTATTCATTTATGGACAGCACATGTAGTTTAAATTTTTGGGTGTCCCGATTATGGGATGAAATAGATGAATTTGACTTACATGAGATATTCTAATTGGTACAACAAATTTAAACCTTAAAACATGACACATAACAAATGAGTTGTAAGTGTTGATACATTTTGAATCAATATTGGATGCAGTAATGGCCAAACAAGAGTGGCACGGTTGAGATATGATACCCAAAGTTGCATCTGCCTCCTCCTCTACCGCTTCTTCACACTTTTACCTTACCGTAAAATCCCTTTCCAATTTTCCAGCCAAAGCCGGCTCCTCAACTCTTCCCATCACCTCTGTTGCCGACACAAGCGCACAAAGTTATCAATAATATCTCTTTTAGTGCCATTGTATATAACAACGTTTGTATTTAGTTGACTAATCTATGTACTAAAAGTTGTACATCATCAAGTTCCTTGCATTTTTGACTAAGTATTTAGTTTAACTAAAGCAATCTGTTAGTTTGAATGAATTTTTTCTGCAAGTACAAATCACACTAACATTGAAGCTTTAGTTACTCGGTTCAACTGATTCAGTAAACCTTTGAATCAATGCCATCCAGTTTAAATGATGTAATTGAGTGAGTCCAATTACACTTTCCAATTCCAATGGGAGGAGATTGGAGTGGGTCTAGTTACCCGCTCAAATTACATCCTTTAATAATGTATCCACTAAATTCACAACTACACTCTGGGTTACCAAACATCGAAAAGCTGCATAATAATACACTGTCTCTGCCTAACAGTATGTGTAATTAGACACTAACACACTACTGTTATTACAGTGATATGTAATTACTACCCTAATAATTACATGACTTGTTACACTGGCATCGAAACACACCCTCTGGGTCTACTTCATGAAACTCAGCCCGCAAGCTATATAAGCAAATTTTTTATGTGATTATATTCCTTTGATCATATGCTTTATTGCTTTTAAAATATCAGGACAGTCTTCTTGCCGGTTGATAAATTTCTTAATTCCATGATTCCACCTCTATCTTTATTGTGTAGTGTATTTTGTTTGGTACTGGTTGAACCAATTAGCCCAAGACATTGTTATTTGAAATGAGATTCTGTTAGCATAATATGAGCTTATATGCACTCTCTCCCTTTTGACAACTGTAGCTGAGCTCTATGATGGACATTAGCAGTGACGTTCAAGTGCGTGCAAGTGGAGGGCTTCTTGCTATACTGGAAGATGAAAGGATAGTAGATACCCATGAACAACATGACTTTGAAAATACATCTATTGCTATTGACTCCATTAGTCAAATTTCTTTGTATCTTTTGCACGGGTTCAATGAAAAAACTAGTTGTTCTTTGCATTTTACATATCTTATGTGATGTACTATGTTATTAGGATGTGTTCCTTGACTATCATACATAGAAACAAATTTCTGAAACTTGATTCAGCTGCTCATGAAGCATTGCAAATATTCCAAATTGACAAACATCCTAGCCATATGGGGATCGGAAGAGCAAAAGAGGGGTAAACCTCAGTTTCTATGTTATGCTATATTTTTGCTTGCAGTGCATGCTGAATAAAATATTTTCTTTCAGGTTCTCTGTATTTGGAATGATGAATAAGGTAAGATGACTTTTGTTTGCAGTGATTTCATTCTTCTTGTTTCTGGAATGCTGGCTACATGAAGAAAACTTTACCTTTTTCCTATTTACTTTTTTCAGTGTGTTACACCATTAGGCAGACGTCTCTTGAGGTAATTTGTTGACAGTTTGCATCTGCTATATCTGTACTTTAGGTGTTGATGTTAAAAGGTTTATTTTTTTCAGGAGCTGGTTTCTGAGGCCCATACTGGATCTTGATGATTTAAATGGCCGGCTTGATGCTGTATTCCTTGCTTAGCTGAAAAATAATTTGGTTTTGCAACTGGTCCATCATATTGACTTCATAACTTGTAAGGCAGGATCACATTGACTTTGCTAGTTTTAGTGATATATTGTTGAAAAATGGACTCTTTGACCTTTTCAAACATTGTTTAATCTTTAATCAGTTTAATGATAATCTATGGGTGTCTATAAAACGTTGTCTTTAACTTGTTTTTCCTGCATTTTTCTTCGAAGTGCGAGTTTTCCTTAAATCAGTGCAGATATCATTCTTTTTGAATGCTAGAGAACTATCAATTTCCTTACGTGAAACATTAAAGTCGGTGAAAGATGTTCCTCGTATTCTCAAGGTTTGGCATATGTTGTTTTACAGTAATTTTGTCCTTTAATATTTGGTTTTATCCCATACAAACAGTTTGGAGCTTGTTGATGAATTGTTCATATTATTCATTATCTTGTACGTCATTTGGAGCAGTCATGTTATCTTATTTAGAATATACTCCGCAAAATTTAGTTCAACCTCACATGCGTATGTCCTATTCAGTGTTCCACTATCATTCGTGCTACAAGTACAATCATCTTCTTTAATGGTAACTTTTATGTGTTTGATAGATATTTTAATGTACTTATGTCTTTCTATCTCTCTCTCTCTCTCTCTCTCTCTCCTCTTTCCACTTCACTCCACCCGAAGAAATTCAACTCCCCAAGCTCTACATGCATGAATATGGACTGGGCTGCTTTTCTGAAGGTAGACCAATAATTTTCCTGATTGGCTTGAGCTGAGATGGTTATATAGGATTTTTTCATTCCACATAGTGCATTTTCAAGAACAGTTGCTATTTTTCTTCCAGAGCATTTGCTCACTCCTGCATATCTACAAAATCTTTGAAGTGGGCATTTCTGAAGATCTTCGAGATCAGCTGAAGTCATTGAACTTAGATATTGTCAAGAAGGTATTACCTCAAGTAATTTTTCTATACCTTCTTTAAGTCCTGTTTGGGGTGGTCGTGAATTGCCAGTTTTAGGTTTAATGATTTTAAAACTAAATGATATACATTATAGAATAAACTAAAATCACTCACCTTTATACTAATCATGTAAATTTTGAAACCTACCAACAGAGAACGGAATTTAATTTATTTATTTTTTGCTTAAAAAAAACTCAAAATCTGATTTTGAGTTTGAACTTTTCTGCAGGTTGGTGAGGAACTATCAAGTGATCTAGGTTTTGTTTGTGAACTGGTTAGCTTATTTTCTTTCACTCTTTTTGTTAATGCAGGGTACACCAATAACAACAACAACCTAGTTGAATCCCACAAGCGTCGGGTCTGGGGAGGGTATGTATGTTATATCACGTTAAGTCTTGTTATTAAAAAAATATCATAGGAGATGTGGATGATGCGGTGGATGTGTGGCCAATAGGATTTGGAATGAGGTTATTCAGAGGCGTGTAGGAATGGCACCAGCGGAGGATAAGCTGCCTGAGGCTAGGTTGAGATGGTTTGGTCATGTGAGGCGGCGTGCACCTGAGCCTCTGGTGCGGAGATGCGAGAGACTTATGGTAGTAGGTGGGTTTGAGGGAAGGGTAGACCTAGGAAGAATTTGAAGGAGGTGATTAGGCAAGATTTAGGACTTCTAGCTCTTACCAAGGATATGACCTTAGATAGGAAGTTAGGAACGTCTAGAGATCTAGGATTTGGGTAGTTGGATACTTGGATAGTTGTGTTGGATTGGGGTGGTAGTTTTGTCCTTGTCAGTTTGGCTTTGTAGGCTTGGGGTCTTTCTCTTTAATCTTTATATACCTGTTTGTGTGCCTTTTGTCTTTTTGCGCTTTCCTTCTCCTAAATTTACTCTTTGATACTTTTTCTTGTGTTATCTGCTTTCTATGTTTCTGAGATGGGGTCTCTTGGAAACAACCCCTCTACATTTAGTAGGGGTAAGGTTTGCATACACACACCCTCCCCAGATCCTACTTTTGTGGAGTATACTGGGTTGCTGTAATCCTACATTCCTTTTTTTTCTGTCACTGCAGTCATGGTTGTAGGATTGTAATGTTTTATATAACCAGACTTAACATGACATAAACATGTGTACAGAATGCTGATTAACAAGACTCAAATTAACACACACACACACACACATCTCAAGTACCATTTCTGAAGGCTAATACAATGCTTAAATAGAGATAAACGTGCCACAACACATCGGGCTAGTTTTTATGGTTTATAGGGACATGTTACACTTCTTCCTATACTTCAACTCTCCTTCTCAAGATGGAACACACTTCATATGATCCAAGATTGACAAAAAACATGAACTTGAACCTCGACACTGGCAATTGGAAACATGAAGTGGACTTGAACTTGAAACTGGAAACTAAAAACTGGAAACATATGAAGGAGCAATGCTTTTAAACTATGAAGGAGCATTGCTTTAGAAAATTGATTTGGAACTTAATCTAACGATTTGCAGCTGGAGTTTTACTTTATCTTGTAATGACCTTTTAATTACACTGTGGCTCTCATAACGTTTTTCTTGCTTTTACTTTTTCCTCTACCTGAAAGTTATGATTTATATGTTAGTAACTATATGCGTGTTTTATTATGTCTAAGAAAACTACATGTGTGTTTGCTATTGAATTATTGTGCAGGTGATTGGTGTCCTTGATGTAAATAGAAGTAAAGAGAAGGGTTATGAGACAATTGTGAAAGACGGCTTCTGTGATGAGGTGGAACTTTGTTAACTACACTACTGTTTAGTTGCCTTGTTTTGTTCATTTGGTTTACTCTGTTGAGTGTTGACAGTTGGATGAGCTGAGGCAAATATATGAAGGATTGCCCGACTTTCTGGATGAGGTCCTTGTTTTTTTTGTTTGCAGTTAATCCATTTGACAATAGGTATGTTGTATATCGATAGGAATTGATATAGAGTATGTCACAGGTTTCGTCAATGGAACGCGCAAGACTACCTCACATGATGGGAGATAAGGGTCTCCCTTGTATTGTCTATATGCATCAGATAGGTATTCCTACTATGCAAATGATTATTTTTCCTTTGCCCTTCTCTCTTTGTATAGCTGCTTAGTCC